TTGAAAAAAATTCTCTCAATTCACTTGGCAAAATGAAAATGACTAGGCTAGAGAAAACGACTAGACTAAGAAGCAAATGAAATATATATATATATATATATATATATATATTTATTATTATTTTTTTTTTATTAACCGAAGAATACCAAAAGAGTATGTGAAGAAGTGAATGAAAGAAATGAAAAAAAGCTAGCAAACAAACAAGCCAATGAGTGCAAGCAAGTTTACTGAAAGAGAATGAAACAAAGAACAAGCAAACAAATGGTAGAAGCAAATAAACAAACCAAAAATGAACAAATGGTCGAAGCAAACAAATGAACCAAAAAGTAAGAAACAATGAAAGACTAATTGAAAAAAGAGCAAGCAAACAAACAAAATACAAGGTAAAAAAGAGCAAAAGAAAAAAAAGCAAACTAAAATCAGACAAAAGGGTTTTTTCACCTTTCCCCATCTTTTTACATTCACATCATAACAATGAATAAAAAAGTAACAAGCTAGTGCACAAACAAAATAAAGTAATGCAATTATATATAGACTCTCTATTCACAGAAAGAAAGAACAAGAAAAAAAAAGAAATGAAATTAAAGAAATTATAAAACTATATAGACATAAATTCTCTCAATTCACTTGGCAAAATGAAAATGACTAGGCTAGAGAAAACGACTAGACTAAGAAGCAAATGAAATATATATATATATATATATATATATATTTATTATTATTTTTTTTTTATTAACCGAAGAATACCAAAAGAGTATGTGAAGAAGTGAATGAAAGAAATGAAAAAAAGCTAGCAAACAAACAAGCCAATGAGTGCAAGCAAGCAGTGATGTGCACAGACATTTTGAGGGGCAGGGGCTCAAGTGGAAAAAAGGGCACTTAATATTTATTTAACAATAAAACAAAACATTAAATATATCAGGGTTGTGCGATATTGACAAAAAATATATATTGATATTTTCTGGGATTTTATCGATAACGGTAATAAGATGATATTTTGCGTGTGTTATTGTGCTGATATCTTAAGGACAACCATGGACAGCTGACTCCTAAAGTTTTTGATATTCTTCATATTCTGTGTGGTGATCAGTTCACAGCAGTAATAGAAATGAATCTTTTCTAATAAGTTTAAATAGATTTGTACCTTTTATGGACATTTTTACCTTTATAAAACCATTTCTAAAGTGTGCATCATCTTTTCAGTCAAATTCTTAAATTGAATCAGTCAATTAGAATAATAAGTCATTTGGGCTGTTACCAAGCAAATGCAATCAGTATTGACCAAATTAATCTTTGCAATGCAGAGGAAACACAGAAGCTGCATTAGAAGGGACATTTACATGCATTTACACACTGTTTAATGCAGAACATGAATGCATTTATCCTGCAGTTACAAATGTATTAATACTGTTTTGATATGTTAAACATAAAACGTTGAATAGGCCTACTGATATTTGAAATTATAAAAAAAAATAAAAAAAAATAAAAGATACTTTAAATGTGAAATTAAATCCACCAGTAGGTGCAGCAAGTCACTGTTAATAAGTGAGTCATTGTGGGTGAACTGAATCATTTAAACGACTGATTCATTCAGGAACAAAACAACTTCATGTTGCTCAGAGACGCAAATTGGAATTATATTTGTTGGCGAAATAGAGCAAAAAACAGTCAATATTGTTTCTAAAACGTAAGTGTCTTAATATTAAATTCTTGTTTATTTAACTACTATATAAAATCGATATCAGATTTGTAATCATGCTGCTTTTTGGTGGAAAAAAAAACAGTCTTCGCGATACTGATTAACTATATGAAATGACATAAATATATACATTTCTGCCACCATATCTTGAATTTTGTGATCATTTTAAATGCATTTTAATAAACTGAATCATGCAGTGAAAGAACACGCACTGGTCTAACCTACTAGACTTCCTATTGCCTTAGCTAAACTTTAGCTAAGCTAACTTACATGGAAGCTCTCTCATGAGTCAGGGATGTTAGCAAGACAAATTAACTATAATTGCCTTTTGTCTTTTGGATAATTAGCTGTAAATTCGAGGCACAGGTAGCTTAGTCTTTTGTTCACACCCACTCACCTCCACACCAAGACAAACACAACTGGGGAGGGAGGGCTTCACTTCTGTGGCTCTCTGTCTGTCTGTGATGCGCATGTGCCAATCAATGTGTGCTACACTGCTGTGCTGCGCGGAAACGCGGAGGGGAGAAAGGCATCGACAGTCTCAACATTTCCCGACCCGACCTGATATTTAGATTTTTTTATTTGTTTGACAGGGAAAGTTGTGCGCAAACAGAAACACACACACACACACACACACACACACACACAAACACACACACATATATACATACTGTATATTCATTTATAAAAAAAAATAGAAATCACTCCCCAGAAAAAAGGGTACTTTCTCTCAAGGAAGAAAAAGGGCAGGTTCTCAAGTACCCTTTGATGTCTATGTGTGCACGTGCCTGCAAGCAAGCAATCAAGAGCTACTAAATAAACAAATTAAAAAGAGTGAATTAATAAACAAAAGAAAATATGATTGAATGAGTGAATGAATGAAAGAAAGAAAACACTGCAGGAAGTATAGCATCTATTCCCAGGCAGTATGTTCCTCTGAGCAATATAGTCAAGTAAAGGGTATCCTTCTGCCAGACCTTTACAGGTCAAATGTGGACATAAAACATTTGAACGGCAACAGCAAGTGTGTGGGATAGACATGTGAACACTTCAGAGTGTGCTTTATGCTTTTCCAGTGCAGGCAGAAGTAAGATTTAGAGTATATGTTTAATCTCTAAAGTAAAAAAAGAAATACAAGAAAATAATAATAAATAACCAAGGAATGATAAACAACCGTAGGGAATGTATGGAAAGCACAATGTTCATTCCCCTGGTTCGTTCTTCTGTGTGGATTATTTTCTTTTCAAAGTAAAGCAAATCTGCTAGCCATTCATAAAATGGCAGTGCCACTTCGAGAGTTAGCAGCATCTAATTTAATTCAATCCAATTACTTTAAAACTTATTTTATTTCCCTATGTTTGAGGTTTATTCATAGCAAACAATCAATAATTTCTGTCTCTGTCATAAATCGTTTTGATCTTTCATTGGCTTTGAGTAACTTTCAGTGAAAAATGTGCAATAGGTGCTTCCTTCTGTTCCCGAAATGTGCTGCAGCAGCAGTAAGCGGACATAGTGATTAGGTAAGAAAATGCTGTTCTTCAAATTCTCTCCCTCCATTTCTCCCAGAAAGCGTTTGTGGATGACAGGAAGTGAGGCATTAGCATTGTTTATTTATCCCCCAGTTCACTCATTCTTTCTCCAAAATGGTCCCTCACATCTGGTGGCTATTACTCTGCCCGGACATCAGCACTGTGATCCAGAAACCTCGGCCACTCTTCACAGTGGAATATTAACCCAACGTGGACAGATAGCATCTCAGCACTCCAGAACCATTATGCTAATTTGCTTTGTGCTATGCTAGGCTGACTTTGCCCATCAGATAGCATTAGAAACTACATGTCTGTAGCGAAGGCTGACGGATCTTGAGAAGGTAACTCACTGGTATAGGGGTTATGTAAATTGGGGAGGACTGGGAAAGTAATAGATTTCTGTGTGTGTGTGAAAATATGTTGAATTTTTTTTTTTTTTGATATAGCCTATGGTTAGTCTCTAGCTATGAGAATTTGGATAGTAGTTTGCCTGGTTTGCTACGGTTAGAGGTAAATTGAGCTCTAATGGATAGTTAGTAGTCCATTTTACAAAATTTAGATGGGCTGAGTGTGTCCCGGGCCCCCCATTAGAATTAAAGGAACAATTGACCCCACTGACTTTCATTGTATGGACAAAAACACTGTGATATGTCTCAAAATATCTTATTTATGTGTGTGTTTGTTTTTCCCCTCTATTTGGAATGACATAAGGATGAGAAAATGATGACACAACTTTAATTTAGGGGTGAACTATTCCTTTAAGACCAATATTAGTACAAAAAAATGACCATGCTTTGCTGAATCAAAAAAAAAAGTAAATATCAAACAACAATGTTAATGGTTTCTTTCCTGTTAACAATGCATATTTTAATAAAGGATAATAGGATAACTAGCTTCTGTGTTGAATGATGATTCAATGACTCACACATAACTCAAAAACACACTCCACTTCCTCAAACATGCACAGTTCCCTACAACATGACCAGATTTGCATGTTGTAGTATTCAAGTAACCCCAATTGCAGAAAAGTTGGGACATTTTGAAAATGCAATAATATCAAGAATCTGTGATTTGCTAATTCTCTTTAACTTTTATGTAATTGAGTACAAAGAAGTACAAAGAAAATATTTCCAAAGTTTTCACTAACCAACTTAAATGCATTTTGTAAATAAAAACGAATTTGGATGTTTATGGCTGCAACAAACTCCAAAAAAGTTGGGACAGAGGTTCGGCAGGCAAAACACCATCAGCAGGAATCGGGAATTTAGCGAGTAGAATTCATTTCCCCAATGGACTCACCGTTAAGTTCAACCGTCACAGCTGCTTTGTTTCACTCTCTCGAACGTCTTCACAAGCTCAACGCACAAGTCTACACGAAACTGTGTGCATTATGTCCTCATTAACATAGTCAAGTCGCCTTTATTTTATAGCACCACAGCACAGATTTAAGCAGCAGAAAATAACGACCATGGTGCAAACTGAATCAATTCTGCTGCGGCGCAGCTCCAAGAGAAAATGATAAATGGTCGTTGTTCAGTTGAAGTTGTCTGCATCCGAAAACCTAGGCTGCTGACATGCTGCGTATCAGCCAATGACTTCGCAGGCACCGTTTGTTCATGAAGGTGCGTATCAGCCAATGACTTCGCAGGCACCGTTAGTTCATGAAGGTAACTCATGAAACTGAATCTGAGTGTGTTTGCGATTGCATAACCTTAATCGCAGCAGAACATGCACACATCATTCAGAGCAGTGTCGTCTCCAATTCCCTGCGGCTCATCTATCCGTGTCATGATGCCACAAATCCCTCTTCCTTGACACAATGGGCTCCAGTTGCCCCACTCACCCCAATATGTGCCTTCGCCCTGCAGCAAAGAACCTCCACTGCAGTTGAATCTGGTAAAAGTTTTAAAAACAAAAAGAAAATATCTTCATTTCATGTGAATTCCTTATGTTCAGCTTACCTGATTTTATCCCAAAATTAGGGCCCTATGATTTGAGACAGAATCTCAGAATCCAGTCATTAAAACTCAAATTCAAATGAATTTAGTGGCTGTGTTTATTAAATTGCAAACCACTTTTTAAAAATGTACTTCTGCATATCTCAAAGTGAATGATGACAGCCACATACTCACCTGATGTTGTTTGCGGCTGTGTCGTCTTCAATTCCTTGAGAAGATTCGACTCTCAGCTGAAATGCTGTCAAGAATCCAGAAGGACACCATTTGATTTCTGTCCACTGACCCCAGCTGAAGAAAAAACACAGGTTTACTACTGAAAATTCAAGAAAATGGAATGCCCCATGACTGTCGTGGCCTAATGGATAGAGAGTCGGACTTGTAACCCAAAGGTCACGGGTTCCTTTTAATGCTCTCAGGTTATTGGCAACATGCGTGTTGCTAAGGCTATCTGTGTGGCTTAGGCTCATTTAGCTGTTTTTCAAGTTAAATGCTTGTGCTAGATTATGCGACCTATCTATTGTGTGGTACTTATCTGTTGTCACTGGAAACACGCTTGTTGCTGCAATATGCTGCGCTTAAAGGGGGGTCTAATGCCATTTCATGAATTCTGAGTTGTTTACACTGTTAAAAAGTTGGATTCTTATGCGCGCGCACTGAGCAACCCGAGCAAGAGCGCGCCGCTCAACACATTTCATTCATGGTTCGGAAGTCATTGGCAGCGCTGCAGTTACTTGCTGGAGAAGAATGCCTCTAAAGATGTGTGTTTTTTGGATGTGAGGAAAAGATAACCTTATTCAGTGTTATGTGAACAGTGGATGCAATTAGTTTTTCTGGGGCAGCAACGGAGTTTCACAAGCGTGTTTGTTGTTCCCGTCACTTCGGTGACGAATGCTTTATAACAGGGTACATTCTGACACTGGATTTGCACATAATTTTATGCTGAAAGACAGAGCAGTCCCAGCAATAAAAGATCCCGGTCATGACTAGGATTTGCTGTAAAACTGCATCAGACGTCTGTGTTTTGTTGCCAATCGGCCTGTAAGTGCTCCCGACTCTTCAGCTCCACCCACGGCTCGCCTCCAGCAGCTCGGCTGTTTTCGGAGAGAATCGTAAAGCTGTATCTTTCTTTTATAAATCTGATAAAACTGAAGACACTTCGGAGATGTGAATGATGCAATACTACACAATAGGTAATTAAGAATAACGAGAGATTGGCCGAAACTGTGTGTGTTATGTCCCCTTTTACCTAGTCAAGTCTCCTTTATTTTATCTGTGCACTACAGCACAGAATTAAGCAGCAGGAAATAACGACCATGGTGCAAAGGGAATCAATTCTGCTGCGGCGCAGCTCCAAGAGAAAATGGTAAATGGTCGTTGTTCAGTTGAAGTCGTCTGCATCCGAAAACCTAGGCTGCTGACATGCTGCCTATCAGCCAATGACTTCGCAGGCAGTGTTGTTCATGAAGGTAACTCATGAAGCTGATATAGGACATGCTTCTGAGGCAGCTTAACGTTCAATGATCTACAACAAAATAGAACGAGCTTCGGTGATAACTAAGCGAATATTTAATTACTTAATAATACTGATTTCTCACTAGAAATAACTTCAGACGCCATCTTTATTTTGCTTAACCATCACGGGATAGGACACACAGGATTGTGGGTATCAAGGCAGCGAAGGATGCATCTATTCTGCCTTTAAATATTGACCAGATGAAGGTATCTCAGGAGGCAGGAAGTGAAGCTAACATTGGAATCGACGTGTCTTGATGCCTTCCTACCTTGAAATGTATCCTCCAAAGGCAACATTTTCCAGTTCCGGATGCAGCCGTCAGTTCAGCGTTGATTCTGCTCCGGTACCAGACACGCTTGTTATGTCTAGTCATATTGGAAACATGCTTGTTCTTAAGCTCTCGGTTGTTATTGGGAGTATGCTTGTTCTGAAGTTATAGTTGTATTGTCGGGAACATGCTTGTCCCAGAGCTATCTGGTTGTTATTGGAACATGTTTGTTCTAAAAGCTGTAGTCGTACTGGGAACATGCTTGTTCTTAAGCTGTAGTTGTATTGGGTATATGCTTGTTCTTAAACTACCTGGTCATTATTGGGAACATGCTTGTTCTTAAAGGGGTCATATGATGCGATTTCAATTTTTCCTTTCTCTTTGGAGTGTTACAAGCTCTTGGTGCATAAAGAAGATCTGTAAAGTTGCAAAGACTAAAGTCTCAAATCCAAAGAGATATTCTTTATAAAAGTTAAGAGCCACACCTACCTAAAACAGCTCGTTCTAACACGCCCCCACATATCTACGTCGCTATGTGGGAAGACTTGCATAACGCCATCCAAATGTTCACGCAAAAGGCGTAACTTTTATTCTCGCTGTAGTATTGTTGTTGCCGCCACCATGTCGTGAAGGCACTGTGTGATTCGTTGTGAAAGCGAAACTACTTTGTTTGGCCTTCCAAAAGAGGACGATATCTGCTTCGTCATGCCTGGAGCTGATCCGTGCTGGTTGCTGAGAAAATACTACAACTTTGCGCTGTGGATCGCCGGATCGGCTTTCACCGTGGACGAAGCGGAGTCCAGCCCAGAGTCGTCACATGTCCTCGCCAGCCACGCCGTTCCCAAGCCCACCCGCCTCTGCTCACTCTAGCCCTCCGGCCGTTCCTCACGCTAGCCCCCGGCCTCTGCCCACTGTAGGCTGCCGCCGCTCACTCTAGGCCACCGTGTGTGATGCTGTGTTTCGTTGTGAAAGCGAAACTACTTTGTTTGGCCTTCCAAAAATG